GTATAGGTTAAGAGGGGATCTATAAATATCTGTAGGACAGGAGAAGGATCTCTATGGAGCTCCTCTTCACCTATACGGACCTCTATAGAGCTCCTCTTCACCTATACGGACCTCTATAGAGCTCCTCTTCACCTATACGGACCTCTATAGAGCTCCTCTTCACCTATACCGACCTCTATAGAGCTCCTCTTCCCCTATACGGACCTCTATAGAGCTCCTCCTCACCTATACGGACCTCTATAGAGCTCCTCTTCACCTATACGGACCTCTGTAGAGCTCCTCTTCACCTATATATACCTCTATAAAGCTCCTCGTCACCTATACTGACCTCTATAGAGCTCTTCTTCACCTATACTGACCTCTATAGAGCTCTTCTTCACCTATACGGACCTCTATAGAGCTCTTCTTCACCTATATATACCTTTATAAAGCTCCCGTTTTAAGCTTTATCGTTATTTAAGGTTAGAAGGCGTAGAATTTTAACGTATAATTTTTCAAGGAGCTTCAGATTATCACATCTATCTCCCTTATTTTTCTGTCACTTCTATTAATTCACACACTTAAAAATAATGGGGGTGGATATAGAGATGAATGTGTTCGTTTGTCTAAAATAATGCAATGACTAACTACCGGTGAAAAATTCGACACCGAAAAGTTTTTGCGTATAATTTTCAAAACTTCACATAAATCTTTAAAAGAGGAAGGGGCATGTGGAATCTCTGAGCGGAAGCGTTAAACAACGAACGACCAACACAGACTGTATGAATGAATGGACAAAACGTGTAATGTTTCCAAATAAAATTTATGGGTGTGGTGTGGACTACTCCTGCATCCATTCTAAACCATTCGGTTGATTCGGTGATGCAGTATAAATGTGAAAATGAATTAAGTCCAAACACACAAAATTTACACAGTAGACTGGACTGGCCCAGTCATTGTGGTGCAATTATTTTTTGTTTTATTTGCTTTAAGGAATTTTTATGTGCTGTTTTCCTTTAACGTAACAAATTCTAATTGTTTTCTCCCTTCTCTTTTGCAATGAAATGAAATTATCTAGGTCCACGAGTGCGAAAACCTAAGAAAACCACTGGACCAAATGAAAAAGCCAACTCACCATCCGGCACAGCTAGCGCAGGCAGCACAGGCTCAACAACGGGTGCGGCAGCGGGAGCTACATCGACGACATCATCCTCATCATCATCAGAAGATAAACGACCGCGTACAGCATTTAGTGGTTCGCAATTAGCAAGACTGAAGGTAGGCATTGCGAAGCTAATAAAAACATTAATAAGACATAATTAAATATTTGTCTATATTTTAAAATTCAACACAATAAAGAATTGTTTTTCTTCCCCTTGTGTTTTCATTACAGCACGAATTCAATGAAAATCGCTATCTGACCGAAAAACGCCGACAACAGCTAAGTTCTGAGCTGGGTCTCAATGAGGCTCAAATAAAAATTTGGTTTCAAAATAAACGTGCCAAATTGAAAAAATCCAGCGGTGTCAAAAATCCCCTTGCTCTGCAACTTATGGCCCAGGGCCTGTACAATCATTCGACAATACCATTGACCCGCGAAGAAGAAGAATTACAAGAGCTGCAGGAACGAGAGAAGGCGGCCAATAACAATAATCTGACACAACCAGCCGCCAGTGCGGTATCATCTTAAAAGTTCGTTATTTTGTACAAAATCATATAAACTGGTGTAAATAATTTATTGATAGGGATTAGTTATAGATTTAAATTTGTTAGTTGAATTTCTGTAAAAAAAAAACAATAACAAAATAAAAATGCTCCCTTGCCCAAAAGCCGTTGTATGGTATACAACTGCTGATGTTTCTCTCTATTTAAATGCGAACAAGCAATATTAGATATAATGTTTAAGGAAGTTATTTGAACATTTTATTGAGACTTCCATTTATTTGATGTTTTTTTTTTTTTTTTTTTTTTTGAAAATAAAATTAAAAATTTGTAGATTTTTGTTGGGAAATATTAACAGTGATATTTTTTAAAATGGTAAACGTTTTAAAATGGTAAAAAATACCTGCAATTTCCTACACTTCTTATACCCTACACAACTATGTTGTCAGGGTAATATATATATATATATATATATATATGGACCAATTTTCACGAAATTTTGCATGTAGGATGGATTCTAGCCATTGAAGACCCCTATTGTTTTTGGTAAAGATCGGTTAATATTTAGGTGATGAAATGGGCCAAAAACTTTATTTTTGTCGGATTTTCTGGTCGCTCCAGAGGCCGCAATTATGGCCCAAACAACGCGAATTGTTACATGGAGAAGGGCATCGGGACAAAGAATAAGCATGCCTGTTTTGATAAAAATCGGTCAATATTTAGCAGGTGAACTGACTTTTGTGTGAAAAATTACAAAATTTATATTCTATAGCGTATAGATTTACCCCTGAAGGACCTAGACCCCAAAAGTTGATAGTATATCAAAGAGAAGTGGTTGACCTTTAAGTTGATGCCAATTAAATTGTCGTATGTACTCGGATGTGGGAGTTACATGTAAATATTTACAGGTGCTTACGTATTCATATATTATTTAGCAACCCATTACTACACTAGAGGGCGGAAATATAGCGCTGATCACTTTGAAATTTTTCATGAGGATCCAGGTATGGTCAAGGACAACGCCTATAATTTTTGGTGATAATCAGATAATAATATTGGGATGAAGTGGACCGAAAACTTAATTTTTTGTGTTTTTTTTTTCGAATCGAGCTATAGGTCACAATTGAAAGCCGAACATTACAACACAGACCACGGTGAAGGGAATCTGGACAAGTAATTATAAGGGATGCTCTGAATATTAGTAATATTTGTTGACCTCTAATCGGTCAATAGGGTGCAAATATCGCGAAATATTGCCCATGCTCAGAATATAGAACCACAGAAAGTTAGATTTTCGTGGCAGTTGTGTAGCGTTTCATATGGTCGGTCGGGCCCGTCCGACTTTACTGCTCCGCTCACGGGTTCTAAATTAAAAGGATACGTCTTGAATTATCGCAGACATTGGTGTATAAGTTTAAACCCAATATTTTATTTGCGGATATAATATGAATCCATTTTTGGTCGAATTAAGCGATTGCATCCACCAGCCCATGTATTTTGCACACAAAGTACTTATATAGCTGGCTTGTGACAGAACGGTTGTTTCATAAGCCGAGCTTAAAAAAGATTTCCAAGCGCGTCAGTCTTGTGCACATTCCATCCAATTGGAAAAACCATGTTCGGAGATGTAGTCTTATACTTGATCTTTCCATCGGATTCGTGGTATTCCCCTTCTGCATGAACAAGCACTTGGAATTGCTCTCACAACACGACCTAGCCAAAGTAGTTGCTGCAGCTCGATCCGTGTGACTATGTCCGAGAATAGATGGTATAGCTCATGGTTCATTCGACGGCGATGTTCACCTTCGACGCAGTTCGGCCCATAGATCTTTCGGAATTTTTTCCCTCAAACACCCCAAAAGCTGCCTCATCTGCTTGCGCAAGTACCCATGCTTAAGATCCATACAAAAGTGTATCAGATCCATGTAGAGTGTGCGTTTGGTCTGGCGAAATGTGGCCTTGCTTTTGAGTCGCTTACACAGACCATAGTAGCATATGTTGACCAACACAATTCTCCTCTGGATTTCTGTACACATTTGTTAAACAGGTCACACGGCAAACTGTAACCTTTCATGAATCCTCGTTCGGTATTGAAGGGCTGCGAGAGGTCCTTTCCGACTTTAACTGCTGACCTTGTGTCACTTAAAGTTATAATGCATAGCCTATTTTGCAGAAATGCCGAACGCAGACATGGCTCTAAGCACCTCTGAACGGATTGGGCTGTCGACGAAAAGTAAATTTTTTAGCTCCGATATAACGGTTTTAGGCACATTTTCTAACCGAAAAACATGAATTCCTGCTGCCTAGTTTTTGGAAAGCAACATACATATATGGGGGAAATGATAATTATAGGGGGAAATGATAATTGGGGGAAATGATAATTATAAATTCGCATGAAATTTGGCACAGCGTTCTGAATTGAGTGTAGAATGTTGTGTTTTAAGTTTCGGTTCAAATCGGTTCAGATTTAGATATAGCTTCCATATATAGTTTCGCCCGATTTTATGTAAAAGGGGATCCAAAGTCCCCATATATCCTAGAAAGACGTGTGTTGAATTTCATGAGAATCGGTTCAGATTTAGATATAGCTCCCATATATATTTTCGTCCGATTTAAGGTATACGGTGCACCAAAGTAACTATATATCTTTAGATTTGCATGGAATTTGGCACAGCGCACAGAATTGAGTAGAATGATGGGTGTTAAGTTTCGTGAAAATCGGTTCAGATTTAGATATAGCTCCCATATATATTTTCGTCCGATTTAATGAAAATGGTGTACCAAAGTCCCCATATATATTTCGATTTGCACGAAATTTGGCATAGAATAATGAATAGGGTCTAGAATGATAAGTGCTAAATTTCTGGAAAATCGGTACAAATTTAGATATAGCTCCCATATATATTTTCGTCCGATTTTACATAAATGGTGCACTAAACTCCTAATGTTTGCCCGATTAACACGAAATTTTGCACAACGTATCAAATTGGGACTTGAATGACGTTATTGCTTTTCGTTGAAATTGGTGCAGACGCAGCCATAGCTTCCAAATGTATTTCGAACGGGTGTCTGATTGAAATTACATTGTTCCTTCGAGGGAACATTGACACACAATTGTAAGGATACATATCGACGCCTCCGAACCATAGTATGCTAAGTCGACTTAGCACGTTTTAAAGTTCTTCACGTTTTTAGATACTACGGTCCTTAATTTATATTCACTGAAATTTTGGTAATCATCGGCCAATCCAAACCATAGTTATAAGCAAAAATGTACTTACCATTGCACATACGAGTAAAGAAACTTCCATACTTTGAAAGCTTCTACTGAAAAACTCACTTTTCAGACTTAGCATAAGTGGTGAAGGGTATCATACAGTCCGCCAGTCCGACTTTACTACTTTCCTTACGTTTTTTTTTTTATATTTGGAAATTTGGTCATAGAATTAATTCTCGAAGCCACTTTTAAAATTTTATATCTTGGTTTAATTAATATCACTGTAAATCTCTTCAAATTTCTATTCAATTATAAATTAATTGTGTAATTATTTTAGATTTCTTTTTGTCTAGTCTTAGGATATAAGTAATTTTATATGTTTGTATATATTTAATATTTATATTGTACTTTAAAATTTGTATTATAAAATAGTTTGTGTATAGATATTATAAAAAACTAATTTTTAAAATAAAATTGAATTATTGAAACAACTATGCGACAATTCATTTACAGGCAAATACATTTTGGTAAAGTATTAAATAATATTAACAACAATGACAATACCAACCTTTTTATATTATAGAACGTAGTTAACAAGACAACAAACAAAAACTTCATTAATTTCAAACAATCATATTTATTCTTTGGCCACGTCCTCTTCCTCATAAACAATTTCGTGAGGTTCCTGCCATAAAAGCGACCAGACAAAATAAAGTTTTTGTTCCATTTGACGGATCATTACGAAAAAATAGGGGTCTTCTTTATCCAGAAGCGATCATATATACATACTCGACGGTTGATCCATAACTGTGACATATTTCTTCACATTTCACGATCTTTTTATGCCAATTATTTGGATGAATCCGGCGAAATCCTAATACAATCGGCGAAGATCTTCCCTATTTTAGAAAATGTTGTCGAAAATAATTATTTTCTTTGGACCGTCATTTTCCCAATTTTAGTTCATACCAGAGCCAGATATGTACTGTTTCTAATTGCATTGGAATTTTTAAATTCGGAAGTTACAGTGATAGGCAATCATCGTAGATCGGCGTAGATTTTTCAAATAATACTTTTTCGGGTGGTCTTCATAGGCGTAGATTTTTCAAATAATGTTTTTCGGGGTGTCTCCATATGCGTATACTTCGATATTTAGAGGTTCTTGAGCGCGCTTTTCAACCGAATTCTCTGAAATTTAATACATTGGGTTCTTATTGGGTACCAAATTTTCCCACTAAAAATTATAAAGATAGGTCGAATTTTTCTGGTAGCCCCCATATAACGTTACCCCCTAAGTTACAATATGTTTGGCGAATTTGCTGAAATTTGGTACAATGGGTTCTTATTGGGTACCAAATGTCTCCACTGAAAACTATAAATATCGGTCCACTTTTTCTGGTAGCCCCCCTATAACGGTACCCCCCAATTTACGGTATTTTGTGGGTTTTAAGCGTGTTTTTCAACCGAATTTGCTACAACTTGGTACAATGGGTTCCACTAATTTTTATTAAAATAGGTCAATTTTTTCGGGTAGCCCCCATATAAGGGAACCCCCAACTTTCGGAATTTTGGGGATCTTGTGCGAGTTTCTCAACCGAATATGCCGTATTGGAATTTTGTTGTCGCATATGTTAACAAATCTCCATACCAAACATTATTAATATTCGGCCCCCTTTAGGGATAGTTCCCTGATTAATTCCGTTTGTCGGGGTTGTCCCCAAATAGCCGTTACTCGAAATAGTCAGTTTTTAATCATTCCACTTTCTATGGATATCGTGATAAAAAAACGAACCTGATGATAGGCACGCCTAAATGAC